GTCCCTTATGGGGGGGGTGGAGGTGGGGGTGGTCCTGGGGCATTGCAGAGAGGCATTCCTGCCCACTGCCTGGCTGGAAGCTCTCTTCATGCTGAAGGCATCAGGGCCCACGAACTGCTTGGCACCTGTGAGTGAAGGTGCGTGAAGGCTGTGCGTGGCCGAGAAGGTGCAAGTCTTGGCACTGGCAGCTGCTCAGTACCCTGGATCAGGGTCGCCCCGCTGGCTGGGGCAGGAGGTGCTGAGATGCCCCCAGCCAGAATGGGGGCCGATGGTGGGCGCACCTGCTCTTGTTTGCAGGAGTGGGGGATTTTCTCCCTGGTAGGCAACTGTTCTAGGTTTTTGTGCTAGAAGTGTGCCTGTAACCAGATCTCTCACAGGGGATGTGACCAGTTCAGAATGGACCTGTAGGGGAGGGCCAAGCAGGTGGACATTGGATAGGGCACCTGAGGTTACCTGCGCCAAAGATCCCATCACAGACCTGCGTCCCAGCTGCCCGTGCTAAGGGTGCGATAGCTGAGCTGGCGCTTGGGGCAGGACCAGGGCATCCGGAAGACAAACCTGGTGTCACCCAGATCCCTGCCTGTCCTCCTGGCCTGAGTCTGTGGCCTGAGCTGCTGGGTTCTTGCTCAGCTGCTGCTTCCCAGAGCACACGCACGTGCTCGCGGCCACTGCGGAGGGGCCCACACTCCTGTGCCTGTCCTCTGGCAAAGGGACAGCGCCCCACATCTCCGGCTAGCTGTTCTCCGTCTGCCCCTCTGCTGCCTCCTGGCTTTATTGAGATGTGATGGCATCCACGCTGTGGAAGTTGAAAGTTGGTGTGATGGTTTGATACACACATGGCCTTAACGGTGATGGCCGCGGGGGCCGTTCGCATTCCCATGCTGCCTGTGTAGCTGTGCCGCGTGAGGTCACCTGCGTGCCCGTTTCCAGGTTCTGCTCTGCGGGACCGGGTGGCCCCCGGCGTGGGCCTTGCCCCAGGCACAGGCAGCTGTGAAGGGGCGAGTGTGTTGAAGGCGGCCGGCGTGGCCGCTCCTGCTTCTCCCTCCCTCTCCACGGGCATCCCAGCAGCAGAGTGGGGCCCCCACCTGCCCGGGCACTCGTTTGCCCTTGCCCCACATGGGTGCATTCTCCCATCCTTTGGCTTTTCTTCTTTAAAGATGTATTTATTTATGCACACAAGAATTGGGGCACAGGCCAGAGGTGCGGGAGTGAGAGGGTTCACCAGAGACAGTGGGGAGCAGAACAGTGGATCTGTTGAAACACACGGCTGAGGGGAGCAGCACGGGCCTTGGGGAGCTCCCTGGCCGCGGATCCAGCTCGTGCTGGGCTTTAACCCGGAGGGGCCTTCCTTGAGTGTACATACTTCTCCTGGTAGATGCGGCTCCCGCGGGCTCTCTTGCCTGTGGTGCGCGTCTCAGCGGGTCAGGCGCGTCCACATTGCCTTTCAGCCGCCCACCCTCCCTCTCCAGAGCTTGCTCATCTGCCCAGGCTGGAACTCCCCTCCCAGCCTGGCACCCACCACCTACCTCTGCCTCTCTGGATGTGGCTCCCCAGGGGCCCTGGGAGTGTAGGCAGCACAGCGTGTGTCCTGTGTCTGGCTTATGTCACTGTTAGAATAGCCTCACGTTCCCTCCACTCTGCAGCGTGTGTCCGAATGTCCTTCCTTTTTAAGCGTCAGGCGGGGCCTCGGCGTCTTGGCTGCTCTCTCTCGCTCGGTGCAGGCCTGACCTGCACCATCTTTCTTCCAGAGCCTGCCCTGCCATCCTTCCTCTCCCAGCCCTGCAGGGAGCCTGGCCTGGGTGCCTGTGGCACCGCTGTGGGACTCGGGGAACTTGGGGAACCTATCATCACTCCTGAGCTTGGCCCTACCTGTCTGAGCACCGAGTGCAACTTTGGGGGGCGGGGGGACTTGGCACGCATGGTGATGGTGCATCCCCACTGTCTGGGTAGCAGTAACTTGTTCTTTCATTTTTACTTTTCCAAATACTGGCCAAGAGTGTTCCCACGACAGCCCCTAGACAGATCGGTGCAAGGTTCCCTGGGCCTGCTGGAGGTGTGTCCTCTGGAACAGGCTGCGTGACTTGTGGGGGTTCCAGGTGCTGTACGGGGGTGCTCAAGTTTGGATTTGCAACCTGAGCAGCACTGGGGAGTAAGATGGGGCTCCCAGGGGTATGAACTTGCAGCTGATGTCGTGGTCTTGGGTGCATGTAGACGAGAGACTTCCCAAAGCAGACCCTGACAGTTTTGTGATGAATTTTTGGGAACTCCCAAAGGGCGATGACTCTTAAGGAGAAGAAACTGCCCGGCCACGTCCTCCTGGAAACCCTTGCCCAGCTCAGCGGCTTCCCCTGTGATGCCTGTCCCCTCCCCAACCTCCTAGCACTTGGGCCCAGCGCATGGGGCCGTGTGATGCCACTGCGTGTGTGTCCGTGCGGCCACGTGTGCACGCTGCGTGTGCACGTGTGTGCTGTGCGAGCATGCCCAGCCCGCCTGCGCCTGCCCCGCCCGGAGCGCGCTCTGAGGGCCGCTTGGCGTTTTGCGTGCTGTATCCAGTCTGCCGGCAGCCCCTCCTCCGTGGGGTAGTTGCAGGGTGCATTTTCTCTGGGGTCCAGCATCCCTTCCCGGGATGTGGCATCTGCAGCACGAGGGCCTGAGCGTTTGGGGCACGGAGTAACCAGAGGCCTGAGCACCCCTCCTTGACGCTGGGCCTCCGCCTGCTGGCATTGCTGTGCCCTTTCACTGTGGTCAGCCAGCCAGGCGGTTATCTGGTGCTTTTTTATTACAGTATTTTGCCAAAAATGGGTTCTCATCTGGACCATTTCAGCCCTTGGGGAACACTAGTGATGGCTGAGGCCATCTGTGGCTGTCGCTGCTACAGGTGCCCCGTCACTGAGTGGATGGAACCAGGGTGCCCCCTCGGCCTCGCTCAGAGGCCTCCTGACCCCCTGTTCCCAGTTTCCAGGGCTGGGGTGCAGGGAGACACACCACTAGGAGTCGATTCCTAGCGCTGCGCCTGTCCTCCCCACAGTGAGTGGTGAGAGGGGAGCAGCGTGGGCCCCACTGGAGAGCCCCCGAAGCCCCCCGGGAGCCGCGGCCACATGCACACCCTTGCCCTGCCTGTGGGACTCGTGGTGGGCTTGGTGGGAGTGGGCTGTTGGCATCTTGCCAGTGTGGTGGCAGAGGCGAGTCGTTTGCAGTGAGGGGCTGGGGGCTGGGCGGGGTCATCGCCAACGGCAGAACGAGTCATGTTTATTATTTATTCCAGGAAGAGCCCAAGGTGGTTGATAAAAGTATCGGAAGAGGGTGAGCACAGCCCAAATCCTGCGCGGTGACGGGCCGGTTGTGACGTGGCTTCCCCGTGTGCACAGGGAGCCTGTGGTCAGCACTCTGCCTGCTGCCCCCCGGCGGGTCAGAGCGGCCCCGCAGATGGCGGGTGCGCTGGGGCAGGTGCGTGGCCGCCGCAGAAGCGGGGCTGCTGGAGGTTCTGAGTCTCTGAGGAGGGGCGTTGGGGCCTCAGTCCCGAGTGAGCAGGGGCCTGGGGAGGTTGCTGAGTGGGAGCTGGAGACGTGAATTCTTAGACTTGCCGTGTGGTAGTCTCTCCAGAGTGCCGCGACTGGGTGCGAGCACTTAGTACCTCAGGCAGCTCCGGGAGGACCTGGCTCAGGGTCTCAAACGAGATTCCGGTCACGCTGACTGGGGGCTGCCTCGCTGGAGGTCTGCGGGTGACAGGAGGGGCTTGCACAATGGTGCCCTCAGCCGGCGGTTGGCAGGGGCCTCGACATGCGTGTCTCTCAGCATGAGGCCTGCGCCCCAAGCGAGCCGTCCCCGCAGGAGCGAGGAGGACGTCACCCTGCGTGTCGTGACCTTGCCTTGGGTCGCTTGTCATGTTCTGTTTATTAGAAGCGAGTCACTAAGCAGGCTGCCCGCAGAGGTGGTGCTGGACTGCAGGTCTAGGAGGTGTGGCCGTTCGTGGCTGCAGTGGATGTCCTGCTGGGAGGGGTGAGGGAAAGCAGGGGACGGATTTGCAGCTTGAAGCCGGGGAGTGAGAGAAGCAGGACAGGCCCCGGGGCAGAGTCGGGTGGCTCAGGGTCATGCGGGCTGCTTTGCAAGGGAGCTGCCCTGGCCTCTGCAGAGAGGCAGCCCGGCTTCCCTTTTTGGTCCAGGCAGCAGGGCCTTATCACGCTTCTCATGCTGGTACGTGTGCGCTAGCAGGAGCCCCGGGGGGCTCACACTTAGGGGGCAAGGAGCCAGTGCGAAAGGTGACGCCACGTGTGCACCAGGGCAGTGGGACAGAGCAGACACGGAGGGACAGCCCAGGCCCAGCCTTCGGGTTCTTGGCGGGGCCTGGGCTGTGGGACATGTAGGGGACTCAGGGGTGTCCAGGCTCTGTAGTCACGGATGGAGCCAGGGAGCGCTTAGTTGCTGGGGCAGTGGCTCTAAGGGGAAGGGCGCTTTGGGGTGACTGCATGGTGCCCTGGGGCTTGATCTGACCTTGGATGCAAATGCCAAACCATCGCCCCCCAGAAAGCTTGTTCGGGTGTGACTCCCGAGGCCCCATGGGGGCTGGGGGCCTGTGGTCAGCCTGGACTGGGGGGCAGGGTTCCTGAAGGCACCGAGCAAACCCGCAGGGGAAGTGCCGGGCCTGTGAGAGGAGGCTGTGAGGAGGCGCTGGCACTGGCGGGCGCCCACCTCTGCCTGCCCGCCTGAGCCCATGTGACCCGCAGGGCCCGGGCACCGCCTGCCCTCTGAGCCCGGTGCCTTCCCTCTGGGCCTCCGTTTGTTTCCTCCTGTGTGTGTGCGCGCGCGCGCGTGTGTGTGCGCGTGTGTGTGTGTGTGAGAGAGAGAGAGAGAGAAGGGGGTGGGGAGGAGCTCGGCAGCGTGGCTGCCTGCTGGCCCAGGCCACGCCGCTGGGGCAGCCCGTCCTGACGACCCTGCACTCTGGGACCAGTGTGTGGGTCCGGGTCCCCACCCTTGATGCCCACATTTGTCTTGCAGGCACGGGCGAGAGCGGCAAGAGCACGTTCATCAAGCAGATGCGGATCATCCACGGCGCCGGCTACTCGGAGGACGACAAGCGCGGCTTCACCAAGCTGGTGTACCAGAACATCTTCACCGCCATGCAGGCCATGATCCGGGCCATGGAGACCCTGAAGATCCTGTACAAGTACGAGCAGAACAAGGTGAGGCGGGTGGCCCTGGCGCCGGGCTGCTGGGCTCCGGGGTGCGGCCATGGGCCTGAGCTGGCACCACCAGGGCTGGTGCTGCTGCGTGCACCCCCCCATCAGGTGCTGCCCTAGGTGGGCGTGGTACCTGCTCCCTGTCTGGCCCTTCTGTGACCCAGTGGCCCTATGGGGAAGGTTCTCCCCCCCATGTTCTCCAGTGACAGCTTATTGAGGCAAGTCCAGCTACCATCCATGCGCCCATTTTAGTGTGGAGCCATTCTGGTGTTCCAGCATTTTTAAAAAAGATTTATTTGTGCATACAGAACTGGGGTACAGGCCAGAGGTGCAGGGGTGGTGAGGGGACTCACCAGAGACAGAGTGGGGAGCAGAACAGGCCGAATGAAGAAGCTCACTGCTGGGGGGAGCAGCGGGCGGTCAGGAGAGGTCTGCCGCGCCCGTGGGTCGCCTCCGGGGCAGGCGGGAATCGAACTCATGCTGCAGTGGCTTTAGCTTCTCAGTGCAGTGCTTTACCCGCTGCGCCACCAGGCAGGGCCGTGTTTCAGCATGTTTACAGAGTCGTGCAGAACGTTGTACTACCTCAAAGAGAAGCCCCCTCCCAGCCACCCTGGCTCTCCCCCCAGCCCTGACACCAGGAACCCACTGCTGGCGCTGGCCACGCCCATCCTGGGTGATCCTCGTCGGTGGGCTCAGCCACTGGCCCGTGTGTCGGCCGTCTCCCGAGCGTCGTGTGTCCAGGGCCCTTCCCCTGGTGGCGAGTGTAGAGCCACCCCCGTTTCTGCGGCCGAGTGGTGGTTCCACGTGGGGGCCTCACTGTGTGTCTGCTCATCACTGACGGCTGTTGGTGTTTAGGCCTCTGGCGCCCTGAGTCTGCTGCTGGGTGTGCGTCCTGGCGGCATCTCCCGGGCGGTAGCGTGTGGCCTGCACCACCACGGGCTGGGTGGCTGCTGGCCACCTCCCCTCATGCCCTCCACTAGCTGGGCAAGGGTGTGTTGCTGGTGGCCTCCGTGGGGTTGCTGTGTAGACCTGTTTCAGGGGCCTGTCATTCAGCCCCGCAAGTTAGCCAGGGCTCACGCGTCATGGGAGTCCGTACCTGGCCAAAGACGGACAAGATGCATTACTCCACGTGCTGTCAGGCCCCACCACCACCCAGAGGCCTGCTGCATCTAGAGGCGCGTCTTCCTCCTCGGCCCGGGCACAGATGGCCAGGCTCCCTGGGGCCCACGTGGGGTGCAGGCCCTGCTGTCCCGGCTGTGGGGCCACATGCCAGTGGGAGCCTCTTGCCTCCTGGGTCTCAGCCTGTAGCACCCTCTCCCGAGGAGGCCTCTGGAGTCCGTGTTTGCATTTGGGACACAGATTGCCATCAGTTCTAGAACTGGGGTCCGCACACTTCAGCCCGTTGTTGTCAATAGTTCTATTGTCACGTGACCACACCCATTAATTTCACACTGTCCTTGGTGACCTTTGCCACACATAGGGTCAGCGTGGCAACAAAGGTGAAAACACTGCTTTCTGGCCTTTTACAGGAGGCCAGTGTGCCCTGACTACAGGCACCCAGACCGTGGGCTTTCCTGGGCAGGCTCTGCTCCCACGGCCCAGGTGGGAGGCCGGAGAGCGCGGCTCAGAGGGTCAGGCAGAGCCAGTGCTCCCGGGCCCTGAGGCCCAGGAGAGCCGGCTGGGCGGCGCCGAGACGCCCACTGTCCTGCCGGCCAGAGCACCCTTGAAGGCAGGACGTGGAGCGTGGAGCTGGCTGGAGAAGGGGGGGCGTCTCCAAGAACCCACTGCCCTGAGCGCTGTGTGCCGGGTGTGCGCAGAGTGTGCGTGCCTGTCCCCGGAGGGGCCCAGGCCTGCGCTGGGGGCTGTTTGTGGAGGTTCTGTCTTAGGCTCAGCTGGTTAAATCATCGGCCCTGGAGGTGAGCCCGCCTCCAGGACCGGGTCCTCCCAGCTGGCTTCCTTGGGCCAGCACCCCTCCGCCCCCAGGCTCGCGGCGACACACGGGAGGTGCTGTGCCGACAGCGGCTTCAGGCTCTGGGCCGGGAACGGCGGCAGGGCCTGGCTAGGGGCTCTGATCCCGACACCGCAGCCCTCTGCCTGTCTCCCTGCCTGTGAGGTGGGGCCGGAGCTGAGGCGCCGAAGTTCACTGAGGGCCGTGGCAGTGTCTGTTTAGGGGGGTCAGTTTTTGAAGAGTATTGTTGTCAGCCAGCCGGCTCTCCCCGGGGCTGCCGGCACCCCCTCTGGGCTCCGCAGGGGCCCTCCACCGCCCCAGCTCTGCTTGGGGGCTGAGGGCGGCCGCTCCGTCCCGCAGGCCAACGCGCTCCTGATCCGGGAGGTGGACGTGGAGAAGGTGACGACGTTCGAGCACCGGTACGTCAGCGCCATCAAGACCCTGTGGAACGACCCCGGCATCCAGGAGTGCTACGACCGGCGCCGCGAGTACCAGCTCTCGGACTCCGCCAAGTAGTGAGTGGGGCGCGGCCGCCGGCCCGGGCC